AGAGGAGTGGGTCAAAATCCCTCCTGAGATGTGTGCAAACCTGGGGGCCAACTCCAGGAAACGTCTGACCTCTGTGATCGCCAGCAAGGGATTTGCCACCAAGTACTAAGTCATGTTTTGTGAAGGGGATCAAATCCTTATTTCCCTCATGAACATGCAGATCAGTCATCATTTGTTAGATGCATTTCTGCTGAATTTGTTGTTGCTATTCTGTTTCTCAGTATTACAATACACCAAACATTCGATTTATAGACCGATCATTTCTTTGTGAGGGGCGAACGTTCAGAATCAGCAGGGGATCAAATCAAATACGCATTTCTTTCACTGTATATACAGTGGGGGGGGGGGAATTATTTGATCCCCTGAAGACTTTGTAAATTTGCCAGCTTACAAAGAAATGAAGGGTCTATAATTTTTATCAGTTTATAAAATTTGTATCTGGATTTTTGGTTGATATTCTGTCTCTATCATTTAAAATATTAAATGATAGAGACAGAATATCAACCAAAAATCCAGATACAAATTTTATAAACTGAGTTGCAGTTCGGTGAGTAAAATAAGTATGTGATTAAGCAAAACATGACTTAGGACTTGGTGGAGAAACCCTTGTTGGCAAGCCCAGAGGTCAGACATTTCCCGTATTGGGTTCCCAGGTTTGCAGACATCTCAGGAGGGATTTTGGTCCACTCTTCTTTACAGATCTTCTCTAAATCCTTAAGGTTTCTTGGTTGTCACTTGGCAACTCGAAGTTTCAGCTTCCTCCTTAAATTTTCTATAGGATGATGGTCTGCAGACTGGCTGGGCCAATCCATGACTTTAATGTGCTTCTTCCTGAGCCACTCCTTTGTTACCTTGGCGGTATGTTTTGGGTCATTGTCATGCTGTAAGACCCATCTACGACCCATCTTCAGTGTATATAAAAAACGCATTTCAACATGTAGTATATATATATATATATATATAAAAATATATATATATATATTAAAAAAAAAAAAAAATATATATATATATATATATATACTGTATGTTGAAATGCAAAAAAAAAAAAAAAAAAATATATATATATATATGTGTGTATATATACTGCATGTTGAAATGCGTTTTTTTATATATTACAAAATATATGAAAAATATTTTAAAAATTATTTCAACATGCAGTTTATGTATATGTATGTATGTATATGTGTGTGTGTGTGTGTATATATATATATTTAAATATATTGAATACGGCCAGAATTGTAGTATTTCAAATATATGTCAATATATTTGGGAAAAATATTTTTATATTTTTAAAATATATTTTTTCTTCCATGCGGGGCGTTGTTGTGCATTGTGTTGTATAAAGCAGACATTTTTATGCCTTGTACTTGTATGGTGTGAACAGGGCACAGTAGTTTCTCTAGTGTCCATGAATGGAGTCTGCATTGGTCAACGCAGGCTCCATGCACCCGACAGGCATGAACATTTAGGTAGGAATACATCTGACCAACTAAGTGAATGCATCCAGACATTTTCAGGAATATTATCCACCATCATTACACTGCCCCACACTAAAATCTCACCTTCATGCCGCCTCATTACATGCCGTTGCCCAGTCCTCGGAGATGCCGGTTATCGGTTTATCCATAAGGTTTCCAAAAAATAAACATAGTACGAAAAAGTGCCGCGGTCTAAGCTGTATCCTTCAGTTTCCAAGCAGGATGTGATCTTTCCATGTACTCCTCTCATTGATACATTCGATTATACATCTCAGATCTTCTAAGGGAACCTCTTCTGCTTGGCCTCGGTTCACATCGTTGGCCGTCCCACCATTGGTTTTGTTCGGCATTTCAGATCGTCCTTTTCATCTTTCAACCTTTGTGATCATGCCGACTGTTCTTTATTCATGGCTCTTCTGTTTTTTTCCTCGCTCTCTCCTTCCCTCCACCTTTCTCCTGTTTGTTTTCATGTTAATGGAGGGGACTAATTACTCTCTAGAGTCCCTAATACCGCACCTAGAGGCTCAGCTTCACCATGTAACCATGATTAGATCTACTTCTTCTACAGAGATCCTAGGCAGGGTTGGCCATATACAACAAAACAAACACAACATACACAAGCAGAATTTTGTGTAGTGCTACCCTCGCACGGGCAGCTTGTACCTATATGAAAGAGAAATATATTTCCAATATATTTAGAGAAAAAAATGATACATGCTACATATATTTCCAATATATTGGCCTACACGAATATATTTTAACACGTATTCCAAAAATGTTGATTAAAAATATATTTTCCAAAGGCATATATTTAAAAATATATTTTTCACAATATGTTTTCAAGATATTTTTGAACATCTAAAAAAAATATATTTAAACATAGATTTTTTTAGATATACTTGCAAATGACACTTTGATATATATTGCAGCATGTGTTCTGAATATATTTTTAATAATATATTCACAAATATATTGAAATATATTTTTGAAATATATTGAATATGGCCCAAATTGTAGTATTTGAAATGTATGTCAAAGTATTTGGGAAGAATATATGAAGAATGTATTTTTAAAATATATTTAAAATATATTTTTCTTCCATGTGGGGTCTCACAGCCAGGTACACACACACTCTTCAGTACTTCAATGGCCAGTCTAGGGGATGTTTTGTTTTTGGAGTTTTATTGTAGGGATAGGGATGGGGAATGTAGTAGGATACTCCAAACCCACATGGAAGAAAAATATATTTGAAATATATTTTAAAAATATTCTTCCCAAATATATTCATATATATTTGAAATACTACAATTTTGGCCATATTCAATATATATATATAAATATATATATATATATACACACTGAATGTTGAAATGTGTTTTTATTACAAAATATATGAAACATATTTTTTAAAAATACATTTTCAAATATACTGTATGTCTTTAAAAATACAAATCTACATTTTTGAAATGCATTTACAAGTATATGTAAAAATATATGTTAAAATTACTTTTTTTATATGTTCAAAAAAATCTGAAGAATATATTTCAAAAATATATATTTTTAAAAATATTTTTCATATATTTTGTAATATGTAGTAAATGCATTTCAGCATGCCCCATACCAGCATCCCGATCACCGCCATAACCCATACCAGCATCCTGATCACCACCATATCTTATACAACCGCCCTGATCACCGCCATATACCCCATACCAACATCCTGATCACCGCTATACCCCATACCAACATCCTGATCACCGCTATACTCCATAGCAGCATCCCGATCACCGTCATATCCCATACAACCACCCTGATCACCGCCATACCCCATACCAACATTCTGATCACCGCCATACCCCATACCAAGATCCGGATCACCAACATCCTGATCACCACCATATCTCATACAACCGTCCTGCCGCGATTACCGTCATACCCCATACCAGCGTCCTGATCACCGCCATACTCCATACCAGCATCCCAATCACCGCCATATCTCATACAACCATCCTGATCACCACCATACCCCATACCAGCGTCCTGATCACCGCCATACCCCATACCAACACCCGGTTCACCACCATACCCCATACCAACATCCTGATCACCGCCATATCTCATACAACTGCCCTGATCACCGCCATACCCCATACCAATATCCTGATCACCGCCATATCTCATACAACCGCCCTGATCACCGCCATACCCCATATCAGCGTCCTGATCACCACCATACTCCATACCAATATCATGATCACCAGCATATCTCATACAATCGTCCTGATCACCACCATACTCCATACCAGCACCCTAATCACCGCCATACCCCATACCAGCATCCTGATCACCACCATACCCAATTCCAACGTCCTGATCACCGCCATACTCCATACCAGCACCCTAATCACCGCCATACCCCATACCAACCTCCTGATCACCACCATACCCAATACCAACGTCCTGATCACTGCCATTCCCCATACCAGTGTTCTGATCACCGCCATACCCCATACTAGTGTCCTGATCACCACCATACCCCATACCAGCGTCCTGATTACCATCATACTTCATACCAGTATTTTGATCACGACCATACTCCATACCAGTATCCTGATCACCACCATACCCCATACCAACGGCATGATCACCACCATACCCCATATACTCCATACAACGCATGATCACCTCCATACCAGCACTCACCCATACCAGCGTCCTGATCACCGCCATATCCCATACCAGCATCTTATCACCCATACCCCATACCAGCGTCCTGATCACCGCATACCCCATACCAGCATCCTGATCACCGATCACCCCATACCAGCATCCTGATACCCATACCCCATACCAGCATCCTGATTAGCGACATACCAGCGTCCTGATCACCACCATACCCCATACTAGCATCCTAATCACCGCCATACCCCATACCAACGTCTTGATCACCACCATATTCTATACCAGTGTCCTGATCACCACCATACTCAATACCAACGTCCTGATCTCCGCCAAACTCCATACCAGTGTCCTGATCACCACCATACTCCATACCAGCATCCTGATCACCACCATACTCCATACCAGCATCCTGATCACCACCATATCCCATACCAGTGTCCTGATCACTGCCATACTCCCATACCATCGTCCCTGATCACCACCATACCCCATACTAGTGTTCTGATTACCACCATACTCCATACCAGCAGTGTCCTGATCACCGCCATACTCCATACCAGCATCCTGATTTTGTCCTGATCACCACCATACCACTCCATACCAGCGCATACCAGCATCCTGATCACCACCATACTCCATACCAGCATCCTGATGATCACCACCATCACTACCCCATACCAGCATCCTGATCACCGCCATATCCCATACCGTCCTGATCACCACCATACACATCACCACCATACCCCATACCAGCGCCCTGATCAGCGCCATACCACCTCCATACCAGCATCCTGATCACCACTATACCACTCCATATCAGCGTCCTGATCACCACCATACCAGCATCCCCCATACCAACGTCCTGATCACCGCCATACTATCCCATACCAGCATCCTGATCACCACCATACCCCATACCCCCCATACCAGCATCCTGATCACCACCATACTACATACCAGCATCCTGATCACCACCACCATACCCCATACCAGCATCCTGATCACCACCATACTACATACCAGCGTCCTGATCACCACCATACCCCATACCAGCGTACTGATCACCTCCATACACCATACCATGTTCTGATCACCGCACCACCATACCCCATACCAGTCCTGATCACCACCATACTCCATACCAGCGTCCTGATCACCTCCATGATCACCGCCATACCCCATACCAGCGTCCTGATCACCGTCATATACCCATACCAGCGTCCTGATCACCATACACCATACCATGTCTGATCACCCCATACCCCATACCAGCGTCCTGATCATCACCACCATATCACCTCCATACCCCAGCAGCGTCCTGATCACCACCATACCAGCATCCTGATAACACTATACTCCATACCATGATGTCGGTCCGGTCCCCCTTTATTTTAAATTTAACCCTTTAGTGAATGGGTACAAGTACCCCTTACTCATTTATAAGGGGGGGCAGCATCAGGTTTCCCCCTTATTTAAAGGGGTACCCTGATGCTAATGATCTTTTGCTTTTAAAGGTAAAGGAGAGATTTAGGGTCTTTTTGACCCCTGATCTCTCCTTAAAGAGGACCTGTCATGCATATTTCTGTTACAAGGGATGTTTACATTTCTTGTATTTAGGAATAAAAGTAATAAAAAAAATAAAAAAATAAAATGACAGTGTAAAAATAAAAAAAATTAAATAAAATGGTAAAATGGAACTCTTCTGTAACTCTAAACGGGTAACCTGTACAAATTTTTAAAACGTCTCCTATGGACATAAAAAATTGTAACGGCCACCATTTCATTCTCTCGGGTCTTTATAAATATATGTTAAAATTGTTTTTCATATGTAAAAAAAAAATCTGAAGAATATATTTAAAAAAAAATATATATTTTTTAAAATATATTCTTCAGATTTTTTTAACATATAAGAGTCATTTTAACATAAATGTTTACATATATTTGTAAATGCATTCCAAAAATGTAGATTTGTATCTTTAAAGACATACAGTATATTTGAAATGTATTTTTTAAAATATTTTTTATATATTTTGTAATAAAAACGCATTTCAACATTCAGTGTGTGTATATATATATATATATATAGAATATGGCCAAAATTGTAGCATTTCAAATATATATTAATATATTTTGGAAGAATATTTTTAAAATATATTTCAAGTATATTTTTCTTCCATGTGGGTTTGGAGTATCCTACTACATTCCCCATCCCTATCCCTACAATAAAACTCCAAAAACAAAACATCCCCCTAGACCGGCCATTGAAGTACTGAAGAGTGTGTGTGTGTACCTGGCTGTGAGAGCCCACATGGAAGAAAAATATATTTTAAATATATTTTAAAAATACATTCTTAATATATTCTTCCCAAATATATTGACATACATTTCAAATACTACAATTTTGGACGTATTCAATATATTTCAAAAATATATTTCAATATATTTTTGAATATATTATTAAAAATATATTCAGAACACATGCTGCAATATATATCAAAGTGTCATTTGGAATGCATTTACAAGTATATTTAAAAAATCTATGTTTAAATGTATTTTTTTAGATGTTCAAAAATATATTTTTAAATATATGCCATTGGAAAATATATTTTAATTGACATTGACAAAAAAGCATTTCAACATACAGTATGCATTTCAAAATACATATATATATATATATATATATATATATATATATATACACACTGCATGTTGAAATGCATTTTTTATATATCACAAAATACATGAAAAAATATTTTTAAAAATATATTTTTTTTAAATATATTCCTCAGATTTTTTTTAACATATAAAAAAGTCAGTTTTACATATATTTGTAAATGCGTTCCAAAAATGTAAATTTGTATTTTTAAAGACATACAGTATATTTGAAATGTATTTTTTAAAATATTTTTCATATATTTTGTAATAAAAACGCATTTCAACATACAGTATAAATATTTATATATATTTATTGAAATATATTTTGAAATATATTGAATACGGCCAAAATTGTGGCATTTCATATATATGTCAATATATTTGGGAAGAATATTTTTAAAATATATTTCAAATATATTTTTGTTCCATGTGGGCAACCATGGCACTACCTGCCTGGAGTTTGCATGTTCTCCCTGTGCCTGTGTGGGTTTCCTCCGGGTACTCCGGTTTCCTCCCACACTCCAAAGACATGCTGGTAGGTGAATTGTCTCCTGTCTAAATTGTCCCTAGTATGTGTATGTATGAATGTTAGTTAGGGACCTTAGATTGTAAGCTCCTCAGGGGCGGGGACTGATGTGAATGTATAATATATATGTAAAGTGCTGCATAAATTGATGGCGCTATATAAGTACCTGAAATAAATAAATCTAATACAATGAACTGAAAGTGATTTATAACTGTATATATATCTCCCTCCAGCAGATGGCAGTGCTGCAGTTCATATGTTGAAGGATTCTGAGGATGACTCCCTCCGATCGATCTCTTCTGATAGGAATAGGCGGCGGACTGACAACTCATGGGGCCCCCGGGCAATAGGGGATCATGGGGCCCCTGTGTCCTTGCCCAAACTCAAAAAAGCCTATGAAAAAGGTACCAGGGGCATCTCATGGGGCCCCCTACTGACCCCGGGCCCTCGGGCAGCGCCCGATTTTTTAAATGGTCAGTCCGCCCCTGGGCGATCTATAGTGGATCCATCTACCACACACAGGAAGATAGACCTCAATGGACAGTTAAGGTACGACCCAACAATCGTGTGAATTATGGATTGCATCCCGTTTCCAGCGTGTCGTCTCCTACTCGGAATCATCGATTGAAATACGATCGTGTATATGGACAAAGTATCTCTGTGTTTCTGACTGATGGATGATTTTCCTCTCCGACTGATCGACTCCGATATAGATCGACCCAAAGGGAAGTTATGGCTATTCCTTTCTTTGCAGATTGGATGGTTTTGATGAAATGGCACACGGATCGGATGAATTGGCCACCATAATCTATGATATGATGATCTAGGGCAGGGGTGTCAAACTGGCGGCCCTCCAGCTTTGTGAAACTACAAGTCCCATCATGCCTCTGCCTTTGGAAGCCATGCTTGTAACTGTCAGTCTTGCAATGCCTCATGGGAATTGTAGTTTGTCAACAGCTGGAGGGCCGCCAGTTTGACAGCCGTGCTGTAAGGACTAGTTCACACGGGAGTTTGGTATCAATGCGTTCCAATGCCAACATTCTGCCAAGTCGTGACATGCATTGTTGGCAAACATTTCTAGTGCTAGCAGTACTGCTGTGTCTGTATAGGGTGACAACGCTCTGTCCTGTCTCTAAATTGTGCTCCTGCGTTGTCATCCTGGTGATCCTGCCATGAAGGTCCTCATTCAGGCTCTTCCTGTTATAGGGTGTCAACGCTCTGTCCCTGTCCTAAATTGTGCTCCTGCGTTGTCATCCTGGTGATCCCGCCATGAAGGTCCTCCTTCAGGCTCTTCCTGTTATAGGGTGACAACACTTACCTCTGGGTCTGTCTATAAATTGTGCTGCTGCGTTGTCATCCTGGTGATCCCGCCATGAAGGTCCTCGTTCAGACTCTTCCTGTTATAGGGTGACAATGCTCTGGGTGTCTCTAAATTGTGCCTGCGTTGTCACCCTTGTGATCCTGCCATGAAGGTCCTCGTTCAGGCTCTTCCTGTTATAGAGTGACAACACTTACCTCCCTGTCTCTAAATTGTGCACTTGCGTTGTCACCCTGGTGCTCTGTCCCTGTCTTTAAATTGTGTTTCCTGCATTGTCACCCTTGTGATCTTTCCATGAAGGTCCTCGTTCAGGCACTTCCTGCTATAGAGTGACAACACTACCTCCCTGTCTCTAAAAGTGTGCTCCTGCGTTGTCACTGTGGTGCTCTGTCCCTGTCTTTAAATTGTGCTCCTGCATTGTCACCCTGGTAATCCTGCCATAATTGTCATTGTTCAGGTACTTCCTGTTATAGGGTGACAACGCTCTGTTCCATCTCCAAATTGTTCTCCTGCGTTGTCACCCTGGTGATCCTGCCATGAAGGTCCTCGTTCAAGTACTGCCTGTTATAGGATGACAACACTTACCTCCCTGTCTCTAAATTGTGCTCCTGTGTTGTCATCCTGGCGATCCTGCCATGAAGGTCCTTGTTCAGGCTCTTCCTGTTATAGAGTCACAACGCTCTGTCCCTGTCTCCAAATTCTGCTCCTGCATTGTCACCCTTGTGATCCTGCCATCAAGGTCCTCGTTCAGGTACTTCCTGTTATAGGATAACAACACTACTTCCCTGTCTCTAAATTGTGCTCCTGCGTTGTCACTATGGTGCTCTGTCCCTGTCTCTAAATTCTGCTCCTGCATTGTCACCCTGGTAAACCTGCCATGAAGGTCATTGTTCAAGTACTTCCTGTTATAGGGTGACAACGCTCTGTTCCATCTCCAAATTGTTCTCCTGCGTTGTCACCCTGGTGATCCTGCCATGAAGGTCCTTGCTCAGACACTTGATTTTTTTTTTGGGTGACAACACTCTGTTCCAGTCTCCCATTTGTGCTTCTGCGTTGTCACCCTGTCACACAGACTGCTCATGGAGACTTCATGTGGCCATTTCAAACCATATAACACAGCCATGGTTCATCGGGAAACCAGCCAATCAAGTTGTATCCATTCAAAGAAGCCTTTGTACCACTCAGATCTAAAGGAGGCTGTGCAGTCACATTTGTAACATGTATTAAAATATAAAATGTATCGACGTATCAAAAAAGTAATAATGATATATGTATTAAAATTTAAAATGTATAACAATAAAAAAGTTTAAAATTTATAAAACGCACAATAAAAAATGTAATATATCGCAGCGTCCAGTTCTTGAATGTGGTGGCTGCATTAGTTTCTTTTTTTTCCTTTGTTTTCATTTGGTGATTCTGCCAGTAAACACACTTCCTGTTTTAGGGTGGCAACACTTACTCATTGCATCTTTGGGGCAGCAGCGTTGTCACCCTAGCCTGCTCTTCTGATTTGGACCACAAGCACCTCCCCCGTTTTTTCATCTCCGTTACATAGGGGGAGGGGTTTACAGGAGTTGGATGGAAGGCTGATAACAATGTTTGACGCTTCTGTTCAGTGCACAGGAAGTTACAAGATTTCTGGCAGGATCAACAGGAATCTTTCT